ACTCATTATCATTTGGATGACCACTGAATATATCAATGTTGTTGTTGTAGCAGCACACAAATTCCCCAAAGACTTTTTGGGGAGTGTTGCTGGAGTGACAGTCCTTGGCCAGATATAAATCTGGGTCGTTCCGGCTACGTAGACCCGACTGTCATGGGAACGTGAATATATCAATCATAGTACCTTCAAAGCGCTGCACAAACAACTGTCTAAATTGTTGCCAAGTAATTCCTGCATTATTACGTCAACAGTTGAGCACCAAAAAATCGCATCTACATCCAAAACGTCAGGGTTACATTTTGGTAGTGTAATACCTCCGCCTTGTCTTGTGGCTTTTGGAGACTGTACCGCTTTGAATAGTTCAATAAATTGTCGATTTTGTTGTTCCAATATTAGCCACTTCTGATCCCAGCACTTCATTTGAAACACCATCTATATATTAATACGCTAACATAAATTTTTTCTCCGTTCGTTTGGCGATTCTACCGAACCGATTTCAAAACCAAGAACACCGTTGGAAAGGCATTTTTCCGTAGATGAGCAGAGTTTTTATGGTTTCACAATTGGTTGAAAATTACGGCCAAAACCGTCGTTTAAACATTTTCGAATTGTGTATAGATGTTGCTGCAACATGTTCAATTTGACATGTTTCGCCTGTTGTTTCACTACAGATTTGAAATTAAGCTTTGAAATAAAGATAAATATGAAGATGAAGAAATAAACGATAACGATGAAGTAAAAAAAAAGAAGGCAAAAGTGAAAATAAAGACGAAAATGGAGACAATGACAGATACATAAGAATTAGGGTAACTGAAAGGGTAAGAACATTTCTTGAATTTATGAAGTGAAACTTCTTTAGCGCCAGTTGGTTGGTCGGGAGTTAATTGTCAAATTCAAGGGGAATAATGCACATGGAAATGGTTCTCAGCGGTTTAGCGGTTTGAGAATAAAAACAAAAACAAAGATGCCTAGAGGTACAGGCAAAACCGAAGATCAAAGTAAATTAAAAAACTTTAAGGTAAAGGTGAAGAGGAATATGCAAAAATAAAGATATATATAAAGAAAAGGATGAGGATGAAGATCGATATTGTTATCGATATAAAACTCGATATTTTTATTGATATAATAATCGATATTGCTATCGATCAAATAATCGATATTGTTATCGATACTGTTATTGATTAAATAACCGCTATTGTAATCGATATAATAATCAATATTATAATCGATATTGTTATCGATACAATAATGGATATTGTTATCGGTATAATAATCGATTAAACAATTGATTTTGTTATCGATTTAGTTATTTATATTGATAACGATATGTACAATAATCGATACTGATGATTGTTATATTTATCAGGAAATTACTCGATTTTACAATCGTTGTATTTTTCTATATGTTTATGGATATTGTTATCGGTATTTTTCTCGACACAGTTATCAACATCATGATCATTGATCATGATATTACATCACATAATATGATATCACATCACACGATATCACGTGACATGACATTATATGATATGACATCACATTATATGGCATGACATCACATGACTTGACATCACATGATATGACATCGTATGACATGACATGGCATTACATGACTTTGCATCACATGATATGACATCACATGGTATGACATCATATGACATGACATCACAGGATATGACAACACATGACATGACATCCAATCACATCACATAAAATCACGTCACATCTTATCACGTAATCGCACCTCACCTCATCTACGTGAAAAGCAAAAGAAAAGGACATAAGCAAAGATGTGAAAGATAAAAACAAAGATGAAGGCCAAAGTAAAGTTACCGATTTCAAAACCAAAAACACCGTTGGAAAGGTAATTTTCTGTAAATGAGGAGAGTTTTTATAGTTTGGAATTTGTTTGAAAATCGTCGTTTAAAAATTTCCATATTTGTGTATGGTTGTTTTTGCAACCTGTTTAATTTAAGCTGTTTCGCATTTTGTTTTACTTCGTATTTGAAATTAAACTTTGAAATAAAGATAAATATGAAGATGAAGAAACAAGTGATAACGATGAAGACAAAAAAAGGCAAAAGTGAAGATAAAGACGAAAATTGAGATAAAGGCGAAAATGGAGATAATGAGAAATACATAAGAATTAGGTTAACAGAGTTGAAATTTTCCGATAGGAATCGAAATAAAATCAGCCATAAAGGTTACTGAAATTTATCGAATTATCGAAGTTTATAATTATCGAAATTTATCCATGCTTATTAAGTTATCGCAACGTATCGAATTATTCAAACTGATCAATGTTTACTGAGTTGTCGAAATTTATAGACACAGAAACTTAGTTGTCCAAACTTACGGATAGTTATCGAGCTATAAAAACGTGTGGGATTAACGAAATTTGTCAAGTTAAAGAAATGTATCAAGTTATCGATATTTATTGAATTATCATTATTTGTATACTTAACGAAACTTATCGAGGTGTCGTAATGCATGGAGTTCTTTCAACTTACAGAGTTATCGATAAATATTGATCTACTGAAATTGGTTGGTTCAACGAAGCGAAGTTTATGGAATTTTAAAATTATATCGATTTATCGAAATTTCAAGGTTATATAAGCTTATCGATTTATCACTGCTTATCAAATTTTATCGTGCTAACAGAGCGTAATGAGTTACCAAAATGTTTAGATAGTTTTCGAAAAATGTGGAAATGTCAAAAGTAAAAATTTATAAAGATATCCAAAGTTTTTACATTTTTGAGTTATCGAAATTTATCGAGCCATCGAATTTCACAGTTATCGAAATTGGTCGAGTTAACGAATTTTGTTGAGTTATCGAATTTTAGTTTTCTTGAAATTCATCGAACTATCGATATGTATCAAATAATTGAAATTTATCGATAAACTTGAATGTATCGAGTCAATTCCAAGTCCTGCCGAAGTCCTCCAAAGACCTTCTCAGATAAAAAAAAAAAATAGTTACGTTTTAGCAGAAGATTTTCCAGTTAGTTAATTTGTACCGTATAAGTTTTGCTACGTGTTAAGTAAGAAAACCTCTCCAAGGCTTCTAAAACTAGAAACACTGTCGAATTTCGACAGTAACCTGGCACTCTAGTTTATTCTTATTTCGTTGCAAATTGGTGCTGTGGCAGGAGCGCCATTAACGTACACGCCGCACATAGGAGTATTTAGCCGATTTATGCGGTCAAAATTATTTTTATGAATATTTCAAATCGAAATGTTTAGAAAAGATGTATTTTGACAAAAAGAGTTGAAAATGTTTAAAATCAAGTACCTAAATATAGGTTAAAACATTAACAGAGTTGCAACCTGTTAAAAATTTTGCTCAATTAGTTAAATGAATTGCTACAATATGGGTATCAATGGAAATTGGTTTGAAAAGGCTTTCTTTCTGAGGGACCTTCCAGGGTTTAAAAAATAAAACTCAACTTTAATTACTGTACACAGTAGTTTGACATATGGTGGAAAGTGCATATACAGAGTCATTCATCATTTCAAAACAAGATTAAAATGCACAAAATTGTTTGTTTACATCGACACATACATGTTATAATTCTATGTCATTTGTACGTTCGTGTAGTTTTTTGTTCAATAAACTTTCGGGTACACATGGTTTCTTCGAAAAATTTTCTTAGAACGTAGACATCGGAGCAAACTACCTGCATAGTCAAAAACTTCTCCCAATAAATTGGCCCACCCTAATGTACATACATACATACTGTTGGCATCCCGCAAATAAGTAGCAAAATGTGTATTGAGAGTGCAACCCTGCACTCGGTGAGATGTGAGAGAGTGGCTTGCAACCCGGACACTGAAGTGACGACAGCGATATACGTGTGCCTGCTTAACCTTAATTATTTTCTAATTTCATAATTGTAATTTGTTTCCTTTAACTTTCAAATAAAAGTTTTGTAAATTGCAACTCAACAACGTTTGAGTTGTAACAGTGGCGACGAGGATTTGGAACCTGTTTTTGCATAAATCGCCATAATGGACGCAAACGATGTCCGTAACTTATTTTCACAGATGCAGGAACAACATGAACGTGACAACCAGGCTATGCAGAATCTAGTGGAACAACTTCTTTCTAGCCAACTTCAACCGAGCGCTTCTTCAATGAAGGAAGATAAAGGTGCAGAGTTCACCATTGAAGCACTTGCATCTAGCATAAACGAGTTCTGCCACGACCCAGAACATAACCTTACTTTCGACATGTGGTTCACGCGATATGAAGATCTCTTCGAAGTCGACGCTGCGAAATTAGACGACGCAGCCAAAGTCAGGCTTCTATTGCGTAAACTCAATACTGTCGTTCACAGCAAGTACATACATTAGGGGTGTTCTCGAAGTCTTGCACGATGCACGGATTGCACGAAATGCAAAAATACTATTCCGCATTTCGAAGAGTACGAGAGCACCCCATTGCAAAGTGGTAGAATGCATGGGTAGCAAGCAGCGAAATTATGTATCAAATACAATAACAAGAGATAGCAAAAAAAAATGAAGTGAGCGAGATGAGAAGAATGAGAGAAATATGTAGCAACAACAAAACAAACTAGCACAGGGTGGCATATATCTTGCTATGCTATTTTGCAAAGTATATACATGGGTTTCGACGTTGCATATTTTGCAGCGATAGGAAATGTCGTTGCCCATGTATTTTGTTGTTGTGTGTTTGCAAGTTATGCAATCCATGCAATCCGTGCTACGTGCAATGGCTTTGCAAGATTTGGAGAATACCCCTATTTTATTTTGCCAAAGCACCCTAGGGATTTCACCTTCGCCGAAACAGTAGAAAAGCTCAAGCAAATTTTCGGGCTCCAAACGTCACTATTCAACATCAGGTACAATTGGTTGCAGCTTGCCAAAGAGCCAATGTCAGACTTCATCACTTACGCAGGCATGGTAAACACGCATTGTGAAAATTTCAAGCTGAATAGCCTCAGGCTTGATCAGTTCAAGTGTTTGATTTTTATAATGGGGCTGAAGTCCCAATCGGATTTCGACATCAGAACAAAGTTGCTAAGCAAGCTAGACACCGAAGCTGATACACTCACACTTGATGCTTTGTCAAAAGAGTGTCAACGTCTAATAAACTTAAAAGCTGACACAAATCTTGTTGAAAATCCGAAGGGCGAAGTCCAGGTAAGGCGCTTGCATTCAAGTAATGCAAAGAAAAAATCATTGCCACATACAGCAAGCATAAATGTGAGCAATGCATTACAGTTGGTCACAAAGAGGGCTACTGCTATTCGAAGAAAAATGGGCAAAACTCAAAGCAGAAGCGCAACAACAAAGGCAAAGGGTCCCACTTGCAGTCGAAAAGTATTTTCGTCTCCAATAAAATCGAATCAGCTCAACGCAAATACGTCAGCGTTCTAATCAATGGCACGAAATTGGATTTGCAGTTTGACACTGCATCGGACATAACAATAATATCGGAAAATAATTTCCAGAAGCTAAATGTGTCAAACACATCCGCAGTCGAGCATTCAGCTCGTAGCGCAACAGGCGCCACACTGCCTCTGTCATTGCAGTTTGATTGCAACGTCGAACTCAAACAGCAGCGAGCAGAGCTAACATGTTTCGTCACACCAATCAAAAATCTGAATGTATTGGGCCTCGATTGGATTACAGCTTTCAACCTCGACAACATGTCTATCAATGCCATTTGCAATATCTTGGCAATGGAAAATCGGGGAAGTGTAACTCCTAATATGCAATCACAAAACATTTCACTTCTTAAGCAATCTTTTCCAGATGTGTTCGACGAAAAACTGGGCCTGTGCAGTAAAACAAAAGCGCACTTGGTAGTTAAACCCGACCATAAACCAATTTTTCGACCAAAGCGACCGGTAGCCTATGCTATACAGCATCTCGTTGAGGAAGAATTGCAAAGACTTCAAGACATTAATGTCATCTCACCAGTCAACTACTCCGAGTGGGCAGCGCCGATTGTCGTTACAAAGAAGTCCAATGGCAGCATACGCATTTGCGCCGACTTCTCAACAGGTTTAAACACCGCTCTCGAAACACATCAGTACCCGCTCCCTCTACCTGAAGACATTTTTGCAAAGCTAGCGAACGCTAAATATTTTAGCCATATAGACCTTTCTGATGCTTTCCTCCAAATTGAGGTAGATGAAGGCTCAAAGGAACTTCTTACAATCAATACGCACTTGGGTTTATTCCGCTACAACCGCATAATCTTTGGCGTCAAAACTTTTCCTGCCATCTTTCAACAAGTTATGGACAAAATGCTTATTGGTCTGGAATACGCCGCAGAGATCAAATCGAACATGACAGGAACGTGCACGAAGTTGTGCGACGAATTCAAGATTATGGGTTCAAACTCAAATTCGCCAAATGCAGGTTTTCAGTGACTGAAGTTAGGTATCTGGGCTATATAATTAGTCAATACGGACTTCAGGCAGATCCGGAGCGTGTCTCAGCAATCAATGGCATGCCAGAGCCAAACAATATCGCTGAACTGCGTTCGTTTCTTGGCGCCATAAACTATTACGGGAAGTTCATAAACAAAATGCGTCAGCTCAGAGGTCCACTTGATGAACTTTTGAAGGCGAACACGAAGTGGCAATGGACTCAAACTCATCGAAAATGCTTCAACAGTCTTAAAGAAATACTTTCCTCAAATCTGCTTTTGACGCATTACGATCCGCAAAAGAAAATCATTGTTGCCGCGGATGCGTCAAACTACGGACTAGGGGCCTGCATTATGCATGAGTTTCCCGATGGCTCAGTCATAAGATGATTTTCGGCAGAGCATTTAAGCTTCATACCGACCACAAGCCTTTGCTCGCCATTTTCGGTAAGAAAACTGGAATTTCGGCACATCAAGCAAACCGACTTCAAAAATGGGCTGTGCAGTTGTTGGCATACGATTTTGAAATCAGCTTTATCTCTACGAGTAGCTTCGGCTATGCCGACGTGCTCTCCCGGCTTATCAACAAGAGCAGCAAATCATCCGAAGATTACATCATTGCATCAGTGAAGTTTGAAGGTGAAATCAAACAAATTTTGTCAGACACGATAGACAAATTGCCAGTTACGCACAGGATGATCAAGTACGAATCAGGTAAAGACAAAATTCTTAAACATATATTTGATTACGTGGAAACCGGCTGGCCAGCATCAAATAATGGTAACGTCGAATTACAAGCATTTTTAAATCGGAAAAACGAGATAAGCATAATCGATGGCTGTATCATGTGGGGTCAGCGCGTAGTGGTACCACAAGTACTGCGCAAACGAGTTCTCAAACAACTACATCGTGGTCATCCAGGTATCGAGCGCACCAAAGCAATCGCTAGGAGCTTTGTTTACTGGCCACATATAGATTCCGATATCGAAACATTAGTACGAAATTGTAACAATTGCGCCTCAGCAGCAAAAATGCCTACAAAAA